CTTCAGTTTCCACTATTTTATCCCTCACTTGGAATTCCCTCTCCCCTTTGCCCAAATATACATAATGTATAGATCAACGTTGAGTCCAATATTTCACATTACAACTATTACAGTGTTAACAGTAAAATAGCAGGCACACTCAAACAAGAAATGGAATTTAAAACATGAATCTCTCAAGTGTCTTTGTAGTCCAATCCCTTTTCTCATCACCAACCTCCAGACCGGTTGTTTCTTCTTTTCTCTTCTCAAAGTTTATTGTTACCTTCACCCAGCAAGGCTGTATTTTCAGAGTGTCATTTATCAAAATACTCAGTTCAGTTCAAGCCATATGGCTCTCAGTTTACAGCTCACAGTCTGTTTTTTTTTACTTCCAAAGGCTTCTTTCTCCTCCCCCAAAAAAGGGAGGTCCAGCAATCCAAGTCCCAGCAAATGTATTATCCACAGGAAACAGTCCCACACAGTCTAAAAATATATATCCAAAAGGAGAAGAGGTCCAAAGTGAACAGCTTACAGCAGAATTTATTCTTTCAAAGCCTGTCCAGTGTTAATTCTCCAGGAGTTTTCTTTTCTTTAATAGAGACACGAGCTATTTCTGCCTGACTGTTCCCTTAAATCAACTCGACCTTGAATCAGCTAAATACGCCACTCCTTATCTCATTTCGGTCATAAATTTTCACACAATCACTTGTTCTTCATTTTAATGGGTTTTTTTTCATAGAACAAGGGCTTCCACTTACTTCGTTATCTATTTTCGCCGTGCTTCTTGTTCTCTTATTCTCGCCGAACGGAGCTGTTTTGGCTGATTGCCAGAAATGGCGCCCGTCTTCGGTCCGTGCTCATGTGAATTTCCAGAAGAAAGAAAAATCGAGTTGCTGCCCAATCTTCTAGCTTCTGTAGCTCACCAACTGCTGCAGAAGGGTCTCTCCTGACCCCCACTCGGTTCCCCCATTTCTAGGGGGATCCCAGACCGAAGTGGTTCTAGCTTCTCAGGGAGCTGTTCCCAAGAGCTGCTAGCTTCACCAGGACATACGTAGCTCCTCCTCCCATGTTATAGTCGTCTCAAAGCATTGTCATGGTGTCTTTTGACACAAGCACTTTAAAGTCAATAGTTTCTATGTCTGGTTATAGTGTTTTGTCTTCCCGTTTCAGTGAAGTTCCAGCTGGTCTTGACAGAGAGACTGTCCACATTGGCATACGGATGTGATATATAGATCACTGAAGGCATGGTTTGGGTCAGGGGGAAAAGTGTTTCTATTTAGAACAACCCTTCCTTCTTCTTTAAGAATTATCTTGCACCTTTCTGACCCAACAGTAGGGCATTCATTCTTTTTGGCACACTCATTATTTAGCCAGGAGAAAGCAACCTTCAGTAGCCTTAGCTTCCAACTTCTGGCAGTCTTGCTTTCAACATTGTGGCTGCAGAACAAAGGAGGCAGGGAGGGAGAAGGGAGAAAATGGAGTGGTGCAAACAAAGGGAGAGAGGAGCAATGAAAAAATTAAAATTTCACTTTCCCTGACCCTCCCCAGATGGCCAGGGGAAGCATTTAATTGACAGCTGATCAGGCTGCAACGGGTCTTTTGTTGTTTGGATACGAGGAGCATGCCAAATGGTACATGATTTCTCCCCCTGATCTCAACAGATCCTTTGTATCCTAGTCCACCCACACCGAAATGGCAATCTGGACAGGCCCACAGATGTGAGCAATACAGCAGGCTGGTTTTCTTTTTCCTTTCCTTTATTACTTTCTTTCTTGGTTTTTTGAATTGTATTGATTACTCAAATCACAGAACCCTAACAGTATGTACTTGGATTCTCAGATAGGGTACAAATCATCCATCTTTGTTCCAGGTGAGATAAACATGGTTTGGTCTGCATTACTTTGTGCCTTTCTGACTCCAGTATGAGCAATAGGATTAGTATCATGAAGCATTTTGATTAAGACATAATGATGAAAGCTCATGTTATATAAGTGATTCTCTCACTGGTTATATGCTTCCACTTTTTTTAAAGAACTGCATATGATACAATATCCAATGTAGATTTTTAGGCCACCCAAGAAGCACTAATATTGGTGCCAAAGGGATGAAAGAAGATGTCAATTATTTCTTTTCTCTGATGTTAGGATATCATGTTCCCTTCCCATAGCTGGTTCTTCTTTCTTTGCATCTTTAAGAACCTTGAACTCATTAATAATTTCTCATCAACATAATTCATGATGTGAGCAACATGCTTACATAGCAGTCTATATGACCTACTTTTCAAATTGGCTTGTTTTAATATCTCTCTCATGGCTAGGTGTTACAGACACACTAGCATTTCAGACACATGTTGCTTCCACTTGGGCACAGCATAAAGCAGCTACTCTAATTTCTATAATGGTAATAACACTTTGTTGAAACTTCCACATTATATAAATTTCAGTGGCATATTTGCAGCACCCACAGAAAAGCTCTGCTTCATGCAAATTATGGTGCAAGCATGTTTAACTCATCCACAAACTGAATCAATTATCTACTTGCATCCATAGTGCAATTGCATACAGACTGTCATTTGAAATCGCCCCAACCTGAAAAAAGATGAAAAAATGGCACAGTATAGGCTTATATTGGCACATAGCTTGATGTTGAGACCCTTGGGGGGCAGACTCAATCAATGATTAATTTAATTAAGCAGTCCCCATTTTAAAAATGGACTTACTCTCTCCCTCCTTTTTTTCAATAGAAGCAGTAATGATGAACAAATAATGCAAACTAAGTTTGAGGATGCAGATATGTTCATTGATGCTCGGTTGCAAGAGACCCTGGCTGCACTGGACAAAGATCTAGCAGGTAGGTTGTATTGAACCTGAATGCTTATGGTGCAAAAAGAATAAAAGCAGGAAGCCAGTATGACAATCCATCAGGTAGGCAGGTTAGACAACAAACAAAACTAGAGGTTTAAACGAGGTAGTAGAATACTGTAACACAAACCCTATCCTTATAGCAGCATGTGATACCATGCCTCATTATGCAGTCCCACTTATGCAATCATGGGAAAAATTATTGGCACCCTTGCAATTCTGTCAGAAAATGCAACCATTCTCTCAGAAAATGGTTGCAGTTGCAAATGTTTTGGTACTCACATGCTCATTTCTTTGGTTTGCATTGGAACAACTCAAAGAAGAAGAAGAAGAAGAAGAAAAGTCGACTCTGATACAATCCCACACAGAAACCCCAAAGTGCACTGGCCAAAATTATTGTCACCCTTAACTTAATGTTTGGAAAAAAATTACTGAACTCAATCGCTTCCTGTAACCATGAATGAGTTTCTTACATCTCTCTACTGGAATTTTGGACCACTCTTCTTTTGTATACTGCTCCAGGGCCTTCACATTTGAAGGATGCCTTCTCCCAACTGCTGTTTTGAGATCTCCCCACAGGTTTTCTATAGGATTCAGATCTGGACTCATTGCTGGCTATTTCAGAACTCTCCAGTGCTTTGTTTCTGAGTGCTTTTTGAAGTGTGTTTCAGGCCATTGTCCTGCTGGAAGACTCATGGCCTCTGGTGGAGATGCAGCTTTCTGACACTGGCCACTACATTGTGCCCCAGCAAACCACCCCAAAACATCTTGGAACCTCCACCGTGTTTGACTGTAGGGACTGTGCTCTTTCTTTGAATACCTCATTTCTTTTTCTGTAAACAGTACCATGATGTCCTTTACCAAAAAGCTCTACTTTTGTCTCATCTGTCCACAATACATTCTCCCAGAAGGACTATGGTTTTGTCACATACGTTTTGGCATACTCCAGTCTTGCTTTTTTATGCCTTTGTGTCAGCAATGGTGTCCTTCTGGGTCTCCTTCCATAGTGTCCCTTTTCATTCAGATGGTGACGGATAGTGTGAGTTGACACTGTTGTACCCTGTGTCTGCAGATAGGCTTGAATGTGTTGGGAAATTAATCTGGGGTCTGTATCCACCATTCGAACAACCCTTCGTTGTAATTTTTCAGGGATTTTGCTCTTCCATCCACAGAGGTTAGCTACAATGCCATGGGCTATAAACCTCTTGATGATATTGCGCACAGTGGACTCAGGAACATTAAGATCTCTGGAAATGGACTTGTAGCCTTGAGATTGTCAATGTTTTTCCACTTTTTTTTGTCTCAAATCCACAGACAACTCTTTACACTTCATTCTTTTCTCCATGCTCAGTGTCACACACAACACAAAGGTTGAGTCAAACTTTCTCCATTTTAACTGGTTGCAAGTATGATTACTATATTGCCTACACTTCTTACTTGTGACAGGTGTGTCTAAATACAAATTAAAGGAGTAACTCATGCTTGAAAAGCAATTATTTCTTATAATTTAGACAGGGTGCCAATAATTTTGGCCAGTGCATTTTTGGGTTTCTTTGTGGGATTGTATCAGATTTGACTTCTGTTTTTTTATGTTGTTCTAACGCAAACCAAAGAAATGAACATGTGAGTACCAAAACAATTTTCTGAGAGAAGGGTTGCATTTTCTGACAGAATTGCAAGGGTGCCAATATTTTTGGCCATGACTGTATACATAGCCCAGATTTACCACTTTGATACATGCATATGCTACTGTGCTCACACTGTAAATATTATAAGGGCACAATTAGAAATTGGAACAAGCCAATGGATTTCTTGGTAGATTCATTAATTCTCGTCATTATGTTGTAAGGATATCCAGTTCAGCATGACGAATTAAGAATAGTACCACTGGATAACAAAGTTGTCCATTAACATACCTTTACTGGAGCTGTGTAGCTTAAGAAATTCTGTCCGTTGTGTTTTTTTTAAGTAACAGAATACTACTGTCTACAGCTATGTTGAACATGCTTTTTCTGCATGTAAATTGCAAGTAAGAGAGAGAGTTCTATAATGGTGTGCCATAAAAATCCACCTATCCATATCTAGGACATGTTTAGTATTCCAAGTTGCAAACAAATACAAGTGTTTCTTGTATATCTCAAAACTATTGGAGAGCCTGTGTACATGCGCTTTCCTTGTCTTGATTTATGTGAAGGCATAGTGTGCAAACATGCAGTGCACACATTTTGTTTTCTTGAGCATTATTGCTGTCTCATTTTTTGGAGTACTACCAGGAATACAAATTGCTGGGGCAGTAAATCATATAGATGACTCATTGTTGTGTTATATTTTAATGGGTGACCAGATACAGGAGTTGCGCTGTTTGTCTGGGCCCAATGCAAAGTAAGCAAGAGGCATCTGTGAGAAAGTTTGGCATGAATGTATGTAAGTAAAACAGAACTAAAAAGACTATGGCAAAATTCAGAGAGCCATTTGTCCAGAGTGGAACTGTTTTCCCATGTTTGTAGCACTCTCTTACATTGCATAGCAAGAAACTTTTGCAACATTTCACCGGTAGCTTCTGATATTTTAAAGGGTTTGCTTTTCAGACAAGCATTTACAACAGATACATTCCAGTGGTAGTTTTATCAATGTACTTATTTTTATTTTAACTTTTTATATTTGGTTGTTTTAATTAATTGTACGTCATTCCAAATCTTCTGATTATTATTTCTATGAGTAAGTAACTCAATCAATATTTTTGCAGCAATGGAAGGCATACATGACAATTCCGAAAGTGGATCTCTCTCTAGTGAAATGAATGAAGCATTCAGTCCTCTTCCTCAGAATGCTGAAGCTGACTTAGCTGGTTCACTCCCTGTGCCAGTGACAATCATAGATGAAGTTCTAGAAGGTGATCTCACAATATCCTGCAACAGAGAAGGGGAGAGTTTGTTGTCCAGGATAGAGGCTAATGAAGATATTTCAGTTCAGTCCAATAGCCTAGGGGAGCTGCACAACAAAAACAATAATATAGCTGATGAATTGTCCTGTTTATCCAAGAACTTGTCACAGCAGCAGATACCTTATGAAGACCTTAGGCATCAAGTTGAAGAACAGCAAAAAAATGAATCTGAGACTCATGTATCCATGTGTGAAAAAAATAACAAGCAGGATGCAGTTCTAGAAATAATTTCCAAAAATGAGGAAATAATTTCTGAAAATGATTCTCAAGAATCTAAAACAAAGATGATTACATCTGACATCAATTTTACGTGTGAAATAGACAGAAGAGAAGAGAAAGTAAAGCAAATGAACGTGGAGAATACCAAAGATGAACTTCTAAGACAAATTAAAACAGAATTGGAATTCAGGAATGCATCAGCCAAAAGTCCCGAAGAGAAGGAAGGATCCCTGTCAGCATCTCTGTGGTGTCATCGTATTCACAATGGAATTACAAATTATGAAAATAAACTTGGCCTGAGAACTTTTAAAGTTGTTCCTCACAAACCTGAGGTGAAATATTTTGAAAGGGATGCATCCCTCTCTACTGGTGCCATTAAAATAGATGAGCTAGGCAACCTGGTGACTCCGAATGCTGGTGGTATTAGAAACATCATTGTAAATAGCACAACCTCAGATGAAACAGAGGAAACTCTGATTGAAAGAGCCAAAGCATACTGGAGGTCAAATTCTATGGAAAAGCAATTGGAGGAACCCCCAATAAGCCATCCCACTAAAACAGTGGTCAGCACCCATTCCAAAAACCTCACTAAAATATCCCAAACAAAGCCTGAAAGCCTTACAAGCATGAAAGCATTGTCACCACTAGCTGCTTCTGGTGGAACTGAAAATAAAACTGTGTTTCAAAAAAGAAAGCCAGCTATTCAAGTCACACAGTCTTCAGTGAGAACATTTACAGCTCCAGTGGTCAACACAGATAAGATGGAGTTCTCGTTTCAGAAACCTCGAAGGAGAACATCAAGCTACTATGTAGCCTCTGCCATTGCAAAATCCATTGCTATATCCCAGGTTAAGACAAACCAAGAAAGATGTGACAAAGAAGAGAATAATAATGAAAAAGGAGTAAAAACTGAAACAGATCCACTTTCCAAAGGAAGTATTGTCATGACCAGGACTGGCCCTGTAGAAACACAGCCAAAAAAAATAGAAGAGTCTTCTAGTTTTCTCAGCTGCAGTAAAAACACATCAAATATATTACCACTTGGTGCTCATTTCAGAAATAACACTGCCAACATCAAATCACCAGATCAAACCGAACCTACTAATTGCTACCGTGAGCCACATCATGGAACATCTTCTAAAGACAGTGTCATTGCAGAAGGGGAGCACTATTGTAGTTCAAAACAAAATGTAATTGTAAGAGAGATACCTTTTTTACCTAATCAAAAGAAGGAGCAGATTGATCCTTTTAGCTCTCCTTTTTTTCTTAAATCATCTAATGTTCACTCATCTTCCATCAGTTTTAGTTCCTCTGTAAAATCAACTGGAGAGTATTCTTTTAATAGGAGAACATCAGCTGGTACACTTACAGTTAATCACATGTCTTCAAAAAAAGATGAGAAACATGATGATACACCTGCAAAGAATGAACCAGAATCTAATATCAAAGACAATAGTATTTACAATGTTTTTGGGCCCAAAAAAAAGTTTAAACCAGTCATCCAGAAGCCCCTTCCAAAAGATTCATCACTCCATAGTGCATTAATGGCAGCGATTCAGTCTGCAGGAGGAAGAGAAAAACTTCAAAAGGTAAAATAACTTGATTGAAGGCAACTTTGAATGGTAGAGGAAGCCTCATCCCACCCCTTGCCTAGCTGCAGTCATAAAAATTATTGTAATATCAGAAAAAGTGTTTCAGCCACTTTAAAAATGCTGAGCACTGTATTTTTACCTTAGCGGACATCATGGTTTATAACACTTTACAATGAGATGTGGCACACATCTCATTTTTTTTAAAAAAATTATTACAACAAATCAAGCTAGTAGTCAGTTGTGTGTATATTGCATGTTGTTATGTAACTGTAATAACAGCTAAACGGCATCAGGAAAGGCACTTGATTATGATTACTATAATCTTGTCCTTGTAGAGGTAGCACTGTATAACACTGTAGAGATAATATTGTATGATGCATGAACAGATCTAGTCAGATATGTTAATAGAATATTTTAACTGGCATTGCCTTTATTTTGTAGGACATATATGGTGAGTCAGCTCTCTTTATCTCTGATCAACACTGTGATCAGTCTTCCACATGGCCAACTCTAGAACAGAAGTCTTATTTAATTTTCAGTGTCTTTATGTTGTGTAAATGCTAAAGTCAGGCCAGTTTCTAAGAGAATGATCTTTCACATACTAAAATTACCGAACTGTGCAAACCTCAAATGAAAAGGAGTTCTGTTTGTGTGTTTTGTCACATGCTAGATTTCACCCAGTACAGGAAATGAAACTCAGAAGAAGCCATTGTTAACAGAACCAGAGAATGAACGCTCTGCACTTCTGGCGGCTATTAGAGGTCACAGTGGAACCTCAAAGTTGAGAAAGGTAAGGATAGGATATCAGTATCCCTTCAGCAGCTTGATCATAGTTTGCTCTCCATTATATCTGTGCCTGGAAATAGTTTAAATGAAGTTGTGGTCCAATGAGAAAGTGCTCAGGAAAAAAATTAAACCAGTGTCATAAAAGGGTTTGTATTACATCATTTGCTTAGGATCAAAAATTGGCCGGGCTTATGGCCGGGTTTATGACATGACTGAACAACTAAACAACAACATCAAAAGATCTTAAGAATTGGGAAGCTTCCTTTCTCCCTAAAGAAAAGAGGATTGGCGTTGATCATGCTAAACAGTATTGCCTGAGGTGCAGTGTGGTTGCCCCCCATGCAAGGATCTCTACAAAGTGACATAATATATCTCAACGTGATACTGTTTAGCAGAATCCAGACTGATCCAGGTCAGGAGAATTCAACTGACTAGTTTCACCCTGAGTAGTGGTTCACATGTTGTAGAGAGGATAAACTGAGTTTGCTATGAAGTATAGCTTCAGTAGGTACTAGCAGTCAATCACTTTCTCCTGATATGTAGTATACTTATATGATAGATACTTTTTGAAAACTGAATAAATAAAGCATGTGAAACAGCCTAGGGCTATTAATAGCAATGGCTCATTTGAAGGACACCTTTGTGTCGATGCTTGCTGCATCTCTGCTTCAGCAGTGACTGGTCAAAGCAAGAGCATGAGGCATAATTCCATGAAGTATATTCATGCATCCTTGTACGCTTTGGGGTAGCCCTGTTGATTCTGTCACAGCAAAACTGACAGCAAAACTCCTCGACTCTGGAATAGTCTCCCATCAGAGATCTGCCCGGCACCCTTGCTGGGTGTTTTTAAGAGCCAGCTGAAGACCTGGCTCTTTAGGCAGGCCTTGCCTCCTGTCAATACTTGATCTTTACTTTTCTATTTTAATTTTCATCTATACTTTTTCCATCTTGAATGATGTTAATATTACTGATTTAAATTGTTGTTTTTAATTGTTTTATGATATTCTTATTGTAAGTCGCCCAGAGTAGACGTGGTCTAAATGGGCGGGATATAACTTTAATAAACAAACAAACACCTTAAGGCAGAGGAAGGCTAAGTATGACTGACAATGCTGCCCAACCCGGGACCTTTTCTGCTCCCTGAGGCCACCTCAGAATCTCTCAAGCCACATTTTTAAATAAATGAAAAAGTGGGATGTTCTGTTCCTGGAGTCCTCTAGGTATTTTAATTTTTTTTTTAAAAAAAACCCTGCAGTTAACCACCTGGGCACTTCCTGTTTAGAGTTGTTCTTTCCTTTCCTTTTTTATTTTGTATAGGCCATGATGGTGCTGGAAGTGAAAATATGGATGCTAAGCAAGCTAAAATTGCCCAAATATGCTTGAATGATTCTAATCTATCTCTGATTAACTTGTTATTCTTGCATGCCATACTAACCTTGCTCATATCAGAGTTGTCCCAATATACGTACAATATAGACAGTATAGTTCACATGATGGACTGTTAAGTTTACATGAACATTGGAATCAATTTGATGCTGATTTTGCAAGGTTCCATGCTTTTCTTGTTCCTTTTTTGGAGTTGTCACTCACTGGTCCCTTCAACTCTGGATTCTCATTCTAGTGACGATGAATTATTAGGTCCCCTAATGCATCATATTAATTCCAGAACACAAGTGGTCACTTTCCATTTAATATAACAGTCCAATGGGAGCATTATTGTTTTTTGTGCCAAAAGCAATTCCAGCATACTTGAGTTCCAATTAATAAAGGCTGGATTTCTGAGGTTGCTTCAAAGCCAAATCTTTGATCCTAATAATCAGGTGTTTTTGGGGGGGTTTTTGTTTTGTTTTGTTTTTGAGTGATGTGAGAGAGCAGGAACAGATTTCGGTCTTAATGGACAAACAAAATCTGCTTGAAATTTTATTTCAGCAGAGCAAGCCAAAATTGTTCAAGAAAGCAGAGTCTAAAATATGCATCCAATATCAAATATTCATTCTTGTATTCTTCCTACTATTAAGAAACTCCTCTCTCCTTTCCCAATTTTCTCATGTAGGTCTCCTCTTCTGCTTCTGAAGAGTTGCAGAGGTTTCGAAGTGCAGAAGCAGCCTTGCAAAACAGACAGGCCTCTGCAACGGACCTGGATTATAATCAACCACCACCTCCTCCACCACCACCTCCTCCACCCTCACCTCCTTCTCAGCTGACATGGAAAGCTCCCAAATTCTTTGCAAATAAAATAAGAGACAGCCCAGGGGATACAAGGCAGGCCCTAATGGAAGAGATCCGCTCAGGCACTGGGGCTGCACGTTTAAAAAAGGTAAACTGATTCTTTGAGGGAGAAATGCTATAAATGTAGGAAGGGGTGTGGGTTGTAGCCAACTACAAGATGCAGAGTCAGGAAGCAGAAGGTGGGCACAAGATATATATCACAGCAGATATAACCTTACATTAGAACTAGATTTAGGACTAGGTGTGGGGCATCAGGCTAAGTAAGTGTGATTTTTGTAAAAAATCTGTCATAAACAGAAAATTCTCAGGAGAAAATGGGACTGAAACAAAAGAGTTCATTCATACTCTGGTTTCTCTTCAGATCATATAAATCTTTCACCTTTTACATTCATACATTACATTGTACAGTAGTCTTACAGTACATTGATATTAGGCTTCATTTTCTCATATCAGTCAGAAGCAGTTCTTTAAAATTACATAGCATAAACTGATGTATATTAGATCCTGTATGTACTGTTTCCCGCCCTTTCTATGATAGGAGGATTGCTTTTTGTGGACCAGCTCTTAGGGCCAGTTCAGTTCTTATGACTTCCACTGCTGCATTGAAGTTAGGAGGGCATCTTGAATATGCTTCACAAAATTAGTCTAACATATAGTGCATTACAAATACTACCTCCTCCATAATGAAATGTTTTGATGGGGAGGAAATAACATCAGAATCTGCTCCCATTTTTATTTATACTGGAGTTATTTATACTGGAATCTCCAGAGTAGACTTGCTGATGGGTGTAAGGGCAGATTATACCTAACTGACAGAGTGCTGGCTTGGTGAGCATGAAGCCTAGATTTGATTGCAAGCCTCAGCAGTACAAGGACAATTTCTTCCAAAGACCTTAAAGAAGGTAGCTTTGAGATCTGACCTACAAAATTCTGATTCTATCAGTAGGTCTGATTCAGTGAGATTCTGAGTTCTAGCAAGCATAATATGTAAGACATAGTTTATGGTTTGTAGCAGGCAGCATATATAAGAAATTATATAAAACTTTCAGTAACTTAGCTCAGAATAAAGCTAGTCAAACCTGTAGAAATAACTGATTTCTCTCTGAGATTAACAAAGTTCTTCCAGTAGGAGTTAAAATTTAGTATCTTAATATGATCTTTTATGTGTTTGCAAACGCAGATGGAATATTCCCATCTCAGGCCTGAAAAGAAACTTGCAAAAAAATAAAAATAAAATAAAAAGGGGAAAAAAATAACTATTTGTTTTCCTTTTGGAAGAAAAACAAATTCACAAAACAAATATACAGCCTTCAGGCAATTTTGCAACAAAGTGCAAAGTACAGAAATGATTAGACATTAAAAAAGAAATCAGTAGTTTGGGGAACTTCACAGTTCATTATGAAAAATATTTTGTTCTAAGACTATTAGTAGTAGTTACATTTCCTGCTCAGCATATTCTTCTTTTGTATATTTTATTTCAGCTGTAAGTAAAATACGGGTCAAAATCCTTTTGCGTAGCTTTGCAAATAGCATAACTAGAGGCAAATTGTCCCAAGTTAAGGAATCACTCTAGACTCTATCAGTTGCATATCAAGTCATACAACCTAGTATTAAACTGAAGGTCTACAGTGATTCCTAACATGGGATAATTTGCTTGTAAAAGTTGCACAATTTGTCCTATGGCAAATGGTGTAACTAGGTATGAGGACTGTGGTCCCCAGTAATGCTATCTTGATAGCTATAATCAAAAGGGTTTTAAAAATTCAGCAGAGGGAATTTGCCCTTACTATTTTATTCTTTCTGACATTTGATCTTCTTTGCCCATTAGATAATTTATGCATTTAAATATTTAAACTCTGTACTCTTAAGTGGTAGAAGAGTCCATTTTCAACAACAGAAAAAGGGATGGAATATTGATTAAAATAAGTTGGAGAGAAGGCATAAAAACTGTCCATAGATGGATGCTTTTTTATTAAGTATTTTTACTACACCTCTGGTCAACAGTATAGTCAGGGCAAGGATAAATTTGATCAAAAAGTAGAGGTAACAGTATACGTACCAAGGTGAATAAGTATTAAAACCTTGTTTTAGATGGAGGTGTATGCAAATGTTTATAAAATATAAAAGGGTGGGATTAGAAAAAAGCCAGAATGGAATGGAACCGGGTTGAATGGGGACTTTTTTAAAAATAAAAGTTGAAGCCAAAAATAGTAGGATGCAATGGAAAACATCAAAACAATATTTTTGATCTCAAACCTAAAAAAAATTATTTATTCATTAAACCTGTATATTGCCCAAAACCTGCTGGAATGGAACACAATGGCCCAGAACAGCTGTAGGATAATAAAGCCAAATTCATGCCACATGTGTTATTAGATAAAAGAAAGACAGCAAGTCACAAATCATCCTCAGGAGCAACATTCCAGTACTTGTTCTGGGCAGAAAATTGATATTGTGAAAAACAACCCAGAATAGTGACTTCTGAGTAGGGCAGGCCAGCCAAATTCACCCATCCCATCCGACTATGGAATCTGATGCAACCAGCCACAAAACGCCCACAGGAACAATATGCTAGTACCTCTTCCAGGCAGAAAATATTGCAAAAATCAGCCCAGAATGACTTCTGAGTAGGACAGCTCAAGGAAAATCACCCATGGTAGAATTAAAACTAAACAAAGCATAAACAGTTTGAAGGCATAGAACAACAGTATTCCCTGTCAGTTTTCTCTTCTCCAGGCTAAGCCAAAGTGGTGGGCCTGGAAAGCCTGGCAAAAAGCAGACGGCCACAATCTCTTTTTCTGTGGATGGATCACGGTTCCTTTGGAACATCAGTGTGTTGATGTATTACTCCCGCCCAGTCATAGGTGACTGCTGAATTGGTGTCTGTCCCCAGCTCAGAAGCTGCGGTTCATGGGCCTTTTCAAAAATGTGAAGCTAAGACCCAGAGGAGGCCCTAGAATGTGATTCCTGACTGGTAACATCTGTCTCCTCTACTGCAATGAGATGGGTGAATGTTGGCATGCTGTCCCACTTGGAAATTGCTGGTCTGGGCTACAAGTTTGGTGTCTGGACTGTAATGATTACTGGAGTGTGCTTCCTGATGATGTCTTGTGCATTGTTACATCATTCCCCTCTTATCTGATGTGACATGTGAATATCACTGTTTTGTGCTATTTTGTGCAATATGAAGTTTCAGACTGGATCTGGGGTTGTTTTGTGGCGTTCTGCATAAATTTCTCATCAGGCAGAATGCATGATTTTCATAGGGCTGTCCTGCTCAAAAGTTCTGTTCTGGGCTCTCCTCCCATCTGCGTACAATATTGATCTAGTGGATACGGGAATATTGAATACTGTACGTGTTTTGTAGCTGGTTGCACCACATTGCAATAGTCAGATGGGATGGGTGAATTTGGCCTGCCTTGCTTGGGAGTCACTGTTCCAGGCTGTTTTTCAGAACAGCAGTTTTCTGCAAGGAGCAGGTACCAGAATGAAGGCACAGCCAGATTTTGGCAATAAGACGTTAATGGAAGAGTTGATTTTTTTTTTTAAGATTTGAAATCTAAAATATTGTTCTGATGTCTGCCAGTTGCAGCCCACTATTTTTGCACAAATTTTTATTAAGTTTCTATTCCGTCCTCTTCCGTTCTGGCTTTTACCTAGTCCCTAAAAGTGCTGGTAAAAATAAATGTGATGGCAAGGCTGCCAAAGATGATTTGACTTTAAGACGAAGTACTGATTCTGTTTAGGATTTTGAGATTAAATACCAACGGTCATTTAATATTCTCTAATTATTATTTCAGGTTCCTCTGCTTGTTTGAATAGCAGCTGCAAGCGCTCAATACCCATTTCTTATTTTTGTACGCTTTCTCATTGATTGGAATGGACACTCATGGCAAAACAACTCCTAGAAATATATACCTTTTGCTTAGAGGCCAAAATAAGTAATATTTGTGAGCATTTCTCATTCTTAATTGATTCACAGATTGCTACATGGCTTCTGTGCCAAGGATTTGGGAGTTCTCTGCCTCCAAATAAATAAAACTGTGCCAATAAAATGATCCTAATTATGAGATTGAGAAGTTTATGAACACTTCATAGTCCTTCGGAAATACTTACAATTGTTTATGGGGAAAATCAAGCACTTTTGGCATTTATCTGAAGTAGAGCATTCTTCTGTTTATCACCAGATAAAATAGGTAGCTCTTCTGAATTACTTGGTTGAATTGACTTTTTTTTTAATGCAAAAGCAGTTAAAATGCTGATGTGCACGGGATATAGGTCTATGAAAATTAATGACTAGAAAAAAATATTATGGTAGATGATTACAGCTTTAAATTGTCCTTTGCTGAAGTCACTGTTTTTTATAGTCAGGCACGTTTAAGATTCTAACTGAGTACTCACTACAGATCCAGAGAGAGTGGGATGCATTTGACAATGTCAGCTAAGAGATACAAAGCACAGAGCACTTCTATCTGCAGATAAGTGATGCCTGAGATACATCATGCCCCCAATATTATATGCTTAGGGTGCAGTGCACCAGGATTGACTCCTGTACACAAGCTCCAGTGAAATGAATGGGAGGGCACTGCACAGTAATGCTTCTGTACAGCTCCCGTTCTTTTCAAGGGGGCTTAACACATGAGAGCGTCTTGCTGAATTGTTCTCTAGTTCAGAAGTGCAATTAAATGACTCTGTATATTGCTTCCCGGGGACTGTTGGTTGCAGTTTATTTCCAAAACTGCCGCTAGTGCTTCTGGACTCCCACTTTTTCCAATGAGCTTACTTTCATTTAATATATTAGAACTAGACTTAAATTCTCATGAGACAAGAAGCCCAAAGTGTGTTCAGAGGGCATGGGCTTTTTAAAATCTAAAGCACTTCAATAGGTGGTGTATATATACAGCATGTTGAAAATATTTTGTTAAAAGAGGATTAGCATGAAGAATTAATGATAGTCTTTAGTTTTTTACATTTATTGTATGATATTGAAGAGCTCCTAACTGCATCTTTATACATTGGTTTTGTTTAATGATAATTATGGCACTGAACACAGTGACAGTTGATGCTTTAGAGCTAAGATTTTTTTTTTCAAGGTACTCTGTGACAATGCTAACCTTTTAAAGTATGTTATTAGCCCTCTGGAGCCAGATGACTGTATATTGTACACTTCAAAATACTAATTTAATTCAGTGCCACAAATAAAACAAATGCAAAGATTCACATGTTTTCCTTGCTTCTATTTTATTCAAATGAAGCAGCAAGAGGTGGTGTTGCCTATGTATGTTTGTAGTTCATCCCACAAGCACACCTGATAAAAGGCTATCAAAGTTCTTGTAATGATGCAAAAACCTGTTTGAAACAGATCACAGAAGAATGACAAAGGTAGGTACTTGCTTTATTTTTGCGTCTTTGTCATACCAATGTGATTTCTATACTACTATATTCTCTCTCCAGTCAAGGGTTGAGGAAGAGTTTTAACAGTACAGTTGTAAGCGTAGTTCATTGATAACAGTGCACAGAATTTGTTGCCCTTTCCCCCCAAAGTGCTGCCATGACTTATATCTGTAGGTAATATTAGGCACATGTGCAAAGGGGTGGGGGAGCACTCACGCCAGTGCTGGCACGCATGTGTGTGCACAAAGCTTCTGTGGGGAGGGGAATGTGTGCGGGGGGGGCCAGGAGGTCTGTCTCCGCAGCCCAGTCCAGCTCAGGCCACGGACCGTCACCAGGCTGCAGACCGGGGGTTGATGACCTCTGTCTTAGGCAATGTAATTGCAGCCTGAATTGCAGTCATTGTTCCTCTTGTCAGCCTCTACTACACATGCTTGCAGCCCCTACAAAACTGACTATCTGCAATTAAAGGGAAAGCAGGTAATGTAAAGGATATTTTTAACATAAGAAAGTGTGTGTGTGTGTGTGTGTGTGTGTTTGTGTGTGTGTGTGTACAGTATAACATTTACTCCATTAATTTCATATCTGCTGTATTTGCTAGTTGCTTGCATCTGAACAAGGGAGGGCGTAAATCAGTTCTATTATTTAAAAGACTATAACTTGAGAACTATTTGATCAAATTTAATTTGATCAGCCTATTTGATCAAATGTGCTAAATTTGGCACAGATCAATACCAGGCTCTTTATTTCAACGGTGTTAAATTTCATCCTGATCCAAAATTCAGTTTGAAAAGTTATAATTTTTTCCTTGAGCTGTCCCTGTTTTTTGAACTGCCTCATATAATGTTGTTTTGACTCATCACATAATGATTAGAATTGCATGAACAAAGTGCACCACATACAAGAATGTTATGACGGAACTGCTGATCTGCCTGTAACCTATGCCAGTCAATACTTTGGCCACAACCCCTTAAACCCACTGAACGTTTCAAACACTTTCCAATGAGGGCTTCAAATAGAGCACATAATCTGAGACATGGATTGCCATAATCATGCCACATAGTGATGTGCAGAGGAGAACATTTAGATGTAAAACCAAGCCGGTGGAATGCAATGCAGATTTTCCCCTTCCGTTTTTAAAATAGGACCTAATGGCAGGGTCTGGCAGCAGACAAGAATGAATATGACATTGACAGGGTCTGGCAGGATGCAACAGGAACAAATAGTGCATTGGTGTGGGGACCCCTGGCAGTAAATGGATTAGCATCCCCAGCTACCCAGTGCATTGACTACAAGATAAGTTCTGGGCTACAGTAATTACCGTCTTCATTTTCGCATAGTGCCTCTGAGTGACACAATATGCCTGAGTTGAGTCATGGCAACTAGACTTCTTTCTTATTAAGCTGAAACGTTTCGCTACACATCTAAGTAGTTTCTTCAGTTTGAGGAGAGTTGGTAGGAGACCCCTGATATATCCTCCATCTTGGTTTCTCTTCCCCCTCATCTGAATAGGCTCATTAGAAGGACAAAGGACGGGGGTGGGTGTTGAGTGAAAATCCCACCTTTACAGTCCTTCTCCAGCCATTGTCATGGGTTTTTAATGGTCATTAACAGTGGTCTTTCTGGTGCATGGGGTTGTAATCATTCTGGGGATGGATGAAAGGGCAGCATGATAAACAGGAGACAGATTATATCTCAGGCCTCCACCCCTGTTGAGTGGGGGGGGTTTCTATATGCACATGTATGGCCTCCCTGACCCCTCTCTCAAACTACCTATCTTCTTGGTCCAAAATGAGTACATCTTGGTCAACCAATGGGTGTCCTTTGTCCTTCAAATGAAGGAACACTGCTGATTGTGGTCCTGAGCCATTGCCCCTCCTGTGCTGGGCCATTCTCCTCTTTTGTGGCTGTTTGGTTTCTCCAATGTGCCGTGCTTTCCTTCTTCCCAACCCCCAGCTGGCTGTCCCACTCACAGGCCTCTGCACATCATCTGGGTCATCCTCTGTTGCTGGGTGCACAGTCCAGGAAGGAGCTTGGGCTTCCTTTCCCTACTTCCTCCGGCAGTGAACCACTCAGATGAGAGGTGGGACAGGGATTTCACCTGGGCAGTCGTTGAGTGCTCAGCTGTAGGAGGCAGCAGGGAAGGAAAGCCCAAACCTCCTCCCCAGACTGGGCAGCCAGTGATGGAGGATGACCTGGGTGGCGCACAGAGGCTTGTGAGTGGGGCAGCCATTTGGGAGGTGAGGTGGCAGAAGGTGTGGAACCTGTGGTGCCACGCTGGCAATTTTCATCTCCCCAGGTCAACTTAAGTCACGCCTATCTGTAATTTTAAAAAATCATAGTATAAAGTACAACATAGCCAAAAAAGGGGGGAAGAAAGAGCCAAAGTTCATCATATGTTGTGTAACATAAAAGGAAAGCCATTTAAATGGCTGATAATAACCCGGGTTATTCATTTAGACAATAGTTTAGTTAGTGGGGGTCAAAATACATTTAAATTCAATAAAATTATACTATTTTACCAATCACTGTGCAGTGCAAGCTTATTGTTTGATGTTCAAGTTGGATGTTGAAACCAAAATATGCTGGGAAGATCCATGGACCTGTCAGGTATCCTGTCTCCCTTGAGGCTGGATGAGGGATGTGACAGAAGGATTGCCATAGCTCATAAAATTGTTGAAACCAAAATATGTTCTTCTCATGCATATCCCTTTCTTCTCATCCATGTGGGAACAAATGACACAGACAAGAGAAACTATGAAGATATCACACCATAATTTGAAGGTCTGGAAAGGGAATTCATCCATCCTACCACTACTCACAAGAGGAATAGAAAGGGAAAGGAGAATCTCTCTCTCTCTCTCTCCAAAATATTTTTACCCTACCTTTCTCCTTAAAAGAACCCAAGGTAGATTATAAAAATTAAAAGACAATATTTAAAAGTTAAAACAGTATACAGTATAAATATTAAAAGAGAATTAAACAATTAAATTGGTCAATCAATACTAAAAACACATTTAAAAACAACAAAGTACAACAACCCATTTTTAAAAAACCCTCTCAGGCTGCCAATCATTAAGGAAAAGCCTGCCTGAAGAGGAGGGTCTTTGTTTACTTGCAGAAGGACAAGCAAAGATGGAGCCAGCTTAGCTTCCTGTGGGAGAGAATTCCTGGTAAAGGATTGGCTAAGAAGATGGTGCTGACATGAGGGATTTGGATTTTGGGACCATGTACTAAGCTTCCTGGAAAATGGACTGCTGGCAAGTGATGGGTTGCAGCTCACAAGGACTGGGAAGAATGTGTTTGGCCACAGCATGAAGAACTTTATCAGTAGGACTTTAAACTGAAGTGGAAGGGGGAGGGAGACGCAAGCACAGAGGCAAAGATAGACGAAGTCTTACAATAAGAGGAACAGCCCAGACTGTTCAAATGGGGGTCAATAATAACATAAACATTAATAGTAGTAATATTCATAAAAATATACAAGGACCAACAGGCCACAAATCACACTATCTCCAGTATCTATATATGAATGTCATTAGCATGGGAAACAAACAAGAAAGACTGAAAATCTTTGTTCAGGGGGGTAAATATGACTTGATAGTAATAACTGAAACTTGGTGAGATGATTCCCATGACTGGGATACAGCAACTGAAGGATGTAAATTGTTCAAAA